CCCAATAGCTCCACCACAAAAGAAAATTAAAAAATCCAAACAAAATAAAAATAATAAATAACCCATTAATTTGGTAAATAATTTACAAAAAACAACAACAACAAATGCCATCATTATTCGCCGTTGCCGTTGTATTAGAGTAAATAATGCACATTTAATTGAGGGATTGCAGTATGGTGGCATAATTTGTTAATTGTATTTTGACAACAACAATTTGATAGTGGATATTGCGTTTCACGCTATGCTCATAATTAGAGGATAGGGGAAAACTTCTAATAGATTCAAATAGCTATGCCCAAAGGGGCTTTATTATATTTGACTGACGTGTTACTGTTTTTGCTTTTAATTGTATGTTGTGCAATTTAATTTTAACGGATACCGAGGTAGGATAGAGGAGAAAGTGTTTAAATTAATATAGTATGAATACCGTCCTTGGAACTCATTCCCATTCTATCCCACTGTGGCCTTGTTAAACTTATCCCTCTCACTCCAGAGTATTAATGTCTACAGTTACAGTTCGAAGTAATTGCATTTTAGACTTGGAAGTTAGAGCCTGTAAAAGACAAAGAGTTCGAATCAAATGGTGCATGAAATCAAATATCTGTTTATATGTCTATCGTCCAATGCTTCTGGGGTCAAACTCGGTAGCTATATATGATTAAATTTTAAGCATGTGGAGGAAGCAATAGTTATTTCCGAATTAAGTTAATAGTAGGCTTGAGAAGCACAATGTGTGTTAGTATTACCGGAACTGTGTACTTATGTAAAAAAAGAATTAGGATACATTTTCTTCATGGAGAACCTTTACCCAAACATCCAAAATTCCAAATTACAGTCAATTCGTTTAAAACGCTGGAGACAAGGAGGTACCGTAATAGGGTGTTTATGTCAAAACATGGACTTACGTTGAACAATTTTTAGGGTGAATTTTTATTCAACCACAACCTCAAATGCCAAATAAGACATAATATGTGGAGATCCAATCAGTGAACCTGAAAAAACTTCAAAGTAAGAATAAACGCTATGTTATACAAACTATATACTATACTAGGATGTGGTTACTACTTCGTCAGCGAAAAATCCACCTTAAAATTTTAGATTGGTTCCAACAGTTCGTGTTAGGCCCTTTTATACCCTCAGCCATATGGCTACAGAGGGTATATATAATTTGATAGACCAAAACTGATCGAAATAACGGGTTTAGACCCTAGGTCTCTTTGGACCAAATTCGTTGCAGGACATTTGGAGTCGATCTAGCGATGTCCGTCCTCCTATCTGTCTTGCTGGTGCGCACGATAACTCTCGAAGGGAGTATCCGATTTGATCCAAACATGGTACATCGAAATATTACTGTCAAACTTACATCCAGTTCGGAGATGGGCAACATCTGTCCACTCCATCTGCTAGATCCCTGGAAAATCATCAATATTTTCAAAAGAATATTTTACTGCACAGAATGGGAAAGGACAATCTGATAAAGCTCCAACTTAGCAAATCCAAATATTTGCATCAGTGCTAGGTGAGTAAATGGACAATATCGTCCACTCCATCAAGTACCTCCCTTACAAACGGCCAAAAGTTGGAATAATTATAACTCTTATAAAACGTGATGTAAGAGTCCGATTGTCTTCAAATTTCACACAATCACAATATTTTTATTAGCCCAAGGTTTGATGTGGAAATGGAATATATCGGTCCACTCCTTCTGGTACCTCCCCCACAAAAGGTAAAAATTTTGAATATCCATGAAGCACGTAAAACACGAAATTATTATCTGATTCCATTCAGACTTGGCACACCTCAATATTTTCATAAACACAAGATCTGTAATAAAGATGGTAGCGATTGGAATATTCCTTCTGGTACCTGCCCCACAAAAGGTCAAAGTTTTGAATAACCAAAAGAATTATAAAATCCGAAATAAGCATCTAGTTCTTTTCAAATTACACACATCACAATATTTTTTTAATAATTCAAGGTCTGGTGTGAAGATGGCATATATCGGTTAACTCCTTCTAGAACCTCCCCCACAAAGGGTCAAAATTTTGAATATTCATGAAATACGAAATTAACACCCGATTTCATTTAGACATGGCACATCTCAATATTTCCATAAGCACGAGATCTGTTATAAATATGGTAGAGATGGAACGATTTCCTCTGGTACCTCCCCCATATAACGTTTAAGATTTAAAAAAAAAACGCTCAAAGAAAGCGAGATAAGCATCCAACTCTCTTCAAATTTCACACATCTAAATATTTTTGCTAATCTGTTGTGAAGATGATATATATCTGCCAACCCCTTCTGGGACCTCATCTACAATACTTATAATCTGGCATAACTTGCGAAACAAGTCGGCGATTCTTTACAACTTGCTATATCTAATATTTCCTTAATATTTCCTTTATCGAAATTTATGATTTCGCATAAAATTGGATATAAATGTTCGATTTCCTTCAAACTTTGTCCATACCAAAATTTTTATGTGATGAAGTATGAAAATGAAATTCTATAGAAACAAGTAAAAAAACATTAAGTTCGGCCGGACCAAACTTTTAATACCCTCCACCTTAGGGTAAAGGAAACATTAGAACCCATTATGACCCACATATACCAATTTTTAGACATATTCATGGGAAAATGTGCCAAAAATCCTCAAAATACCGAATCGGAAAGATGGGGGCTATACCAAATCGTGGACCTAAACATGCAATGTTCCGCCAAAGGAGCTAGAACCCATTATGACCCGCAAATACCAATTTTCAGACAAATCCGTGAAAAAATGTGGCAAAAATCATAAAAATACCGAATATCGGGAGGTACCATTATATGGGGACTATACCAAAACGTGGACCGATATATCTCATTTTCAATACCAACCATCCTAGACACAATACAAATTGCTCTGCTAAATTTTGGCTCACTACGTCTGATGCCACGGTCGTTTAATACTAGCGGAGAGCGACCATCCATCGGCTGTTATGGTGCCGTCACCGGCCATTACCATGGTCGGCTCTTGATTCCTGATGGCCAACCCAAGATGCACATTTTGAGCTGACCTCTTTGGAAAGTAAACACGATAATTTTGTTTTTTACAAACTGCTCTGGACAACGAATGTTTTCTCATCGGATAAAACCAAATTCGTCAGTTCGCAACTTTCGTCCAAGCGAAGCAACTCTTTAGCTCTTTTGAGTCTGAGTCTATTTTCTTGCTGTTGCGGTGAGAGGTTTGCACTATTTTGGACTTTCAATGGCTTTACCCCGATCTCATTTTTCAATAATGGAATGTTGCGATATGTTCGGCTCACGAGCCTTTTTTCTGCCACTGCAAAACGGGGTTCGATCAAGTCGCTTCTTTACTTTTCGAACCATTTCTGCAGAAGTTGCTGTTTTCTTCCGTCCACTTCCTTGACGTGGGGCTACTCTACCAGAATCACGGTAACGAGCGATGGTACGAGACAAAAAAGATTTATTCACATTTAATGCTGGAGTGCTCTAACGATAGCCACTTGTGGTTCTCCAGCCAAATATAAAGAAACCGCACTCGCAATCACGCTAGAATTCCATTACGAATAATTTGTTTTCTGGAAAATTCTCATCAAAATGCTTTTGTACGCTTGTAAGCAATGAGATGATAATGAGCTGTCACTGGAATAATTTTAACAGCTATCGGATGAGTGGCTTAGAAATGACAGAAGTCTGAAGTTGATTGATTAATCCAATTTCAGGTTTATTGTACTAATAATGGCTAATATCAGTCCAAATGGAGTGAATTTCAGGACGTATATTTCCATTTTGTGAAACACTGCTTCGATATACATATTTTGTTTATTATAATCCTTCTTGAAGTGATATCATGCATTATATTATGCAATGTTATTTGGTAAAAAAGATAAAAAGATCTCCGTCAAATTTATTAAAAATCGATTCAGAATTGGATATACCCCCTCTGAAACCAAACTGTAACTGCTCTAAAGCCAAATTTTGATAGGTGGTATGATTTACTTCAAATAAATGATTTTGTTACGGAAGATCTACTAATTATGGATAGTGGTGTAGGGTATCATATAGTCGGCCCCGCCCGAATTTGCCGAGAACCTTATCACCTACTCAGCAAGACTGACCCTCGTTAAAAGTTTAAAGATTGTAGCTGGGCGTTGATTCTCGGCCAGTATGTCAGTCATTTATTTGCTATTCCTTCGTATTCTAAATTCTAGGGAGCGTCTAAAAGTATGCTATAAAATTGCCAAAAATAGATTTTGAAAAAGTCACTCTTTTCTAAATACCAGAGTACACATGATGCTACTATTAAGTTTAAAAATTGATGGGAGTTCCCGAGAGTATTTTATAAATAATGAAAAAGTAATGCGCAAACGGGCCTTAATATAAGATATATTCGAGCCTTTACTCTTCTTTTGGTTTATCGAACATATCATTTTTTTTTGGAAATTTTTTAAACTTTTTTATATCCTCACTTTGCCGTAGTAGAGAGTGGCCGTCATGTAAATCAAGATCATAGCTGTTCTGGGAATAAATATCAGTATATCATAGCCCGTCTTCACCGCTCACTTTCATGATGATATCCTTCTTTCGAAAATATTAATATTTTCAATCACACACAAATACCTAAAAAAAATTGTGATACAAAATCAAAATCTCAATTGATTATGATAATTTGTTTCTTTTGCCTGAAACAATATAAAAAATAAATAATAAAAAAAAACACATTTCAAAAAAACAAAAAATATAAAAGTAGACCCACCTGGGCAACATTGTTTTAAACTATTGCATGAACACTTAATCAACTCGAATACACATTGTATGAACGAATATTACACCTTTGGACTATCAACACTGAAAGCCCAACCAAAAAGCCAATGACACTAAAATTTCTAGCGACGCATATAATTTCGAATTCTTCTTTTTGTATCTTTTTTTTCGGTACCCTCATTCATTAACATTTTAATTCCACCGCGATCGAGCAATTCAATATTATTTCAAATATCTGGAAGCTCAAAAATACCTTTTCAGTTAAAAGACTTCAGTTGTGTGGAACGGATGTTGGTGTGAAAAAATATATATTTAAAAAAAATAACAACGAAATTTGTAAAACAAAAAAAGGAATATGGCTACAAATGCTGATAATGATAACTATAATGGTACATAGTAATTAGTAATATTTTGTTTTAAAAAAACTGGAACAATGAACTAAACTTGTGACAGAATTGCTGATGTGATACAAAATAAAAACGTTATGACTTTCGGTGCATTTTAAATTAAAAAATTAAAAAAAAAACATGTCCTTGTGGACATAATAATATCAATTTTACAAAGTTTTTTTTTTATTTAAAATCTATACGGAATAATAAAAATGCAAAAAATTACAAAAAAAAAACATATTTATCAACAAAGTCATGAAAGCAAGGATAAAATAAAGACATAAAATAAGAAAAAAGATATAAAGAAAAAACTTAATAAATTTATTTAATTTATTTATTATAATTTATTTTAACTTAAAAAAATCGATGATAATGTTATAGAGATTATTACCGTTCTTTATAACACTTAAACACGTATTGAACAACCATCCCGAAGGATAATAATAGCCACATCTCAAGATTTTAAGGACGTGACACGAGTTAGAATTTTTCCAAAATTTTTTGGCGCTAAATTCGTGGAGTTGTTAAAGGACAATGGTTTAAGAACATCTTTTAAGGACTTTTAAAGATACATTCACCGAATAAAAAAAAGTTGCGTAAGCGATCCCTGAATTCTTTTAAATATTGGACCTGTACTCGTGGATGTTTTAAAATAAGGAACACCGAGCTACATCTGAGGATTTAAATAATATTTTCAAAATAAAATATATATATATATATATATATATATATATATATATATATCTATAAAAGAGGAAAATGTTTGTATGTTTGTTTGTTTGTAATTTATGGACTCGAAAACCGCTGAACAGATTTCCCTGAAAATTTGCATGTATACTGCAACATCGCCTGAAAGTAACATAGGCTATATACATTTTTGAAATTCCACTTGGAAGTGGAGATATAGCATCAGAATCGGAAGTACCTCCCAAAAATTTAGATTTTGTATGCACATATCTATTGATCGATTACAGATACAGTCTCCAAATTTGGAATGCGTAACGGAATTTGGAACAAAAATAAATTTGCAAAATTATATTGAAATCGGTTCTGATTTGGATATAGCGCCTATATATATTTTCGGCCGATTCCAAGCATTTGATGAACCAAACACGCAATGTATCCCAAATTTCATTGAAATTTGAAACGTGTGATGGATTTTATCTAAAAAATTGATTTCCCAAATTATATTGAAATCGGTTTAGATCTGGATATAGCTTCCATATATATTTTCAACCGATTTCGTTCATTTGATGCCTCAAACACGATATGAATGTTCGATTCCAATGAAATTTGGAATGTTTAACGGGATTTGATCCCAAAATAAATTTATAAAATTATATTGAAATCGGTTCAGATTTGGATATAGCTCCCATATACATTTTCTGCCGATTTCATGTATTTGGTGTACCATACAGGATATGTAGTCCAATTTTAATGAAATTTAAATTAGTAGCGAAATTGGGAGCAAAAATGAATTTGTCAAATTATATTGAAATCGGTTCAGATTTGGATATAGCTACCATATATATCTTCAATCGATTTCGTTTATTTGATGCACCAAACACGATATGTATGTTCGATTCCAATGAAATTGGGAATGTGTGACGGGATTTTGATTAGAAAATATATTAGTCAAATTATATTAAAATCGGTTCAGATTTCGATATAGCTCCCATATATATATATATTCTCGGCAGATTTCACATATTTGACGCACCGATTTCAATGAAATATGAATATTGTGGCGGAATTTAGTGTAAAAATAATTTTTTTTAAATTATATTTAAATTGGATCAGATTGGTATATGATTTTAATAAGAACCATTGACCCACAACGCCTTAGGCTAACACTATAAACAACACAACAATTAATTTGAAATAGGCTTATTACGGGGAAGTATGTTGCTACCTTGAATTCACTAATTGCAATGGAAATGCCAGTCAACTTTAAAAATCAGCAGTTTCCTGCACGCTTGGTATTTGCTATCGGGTATGCATGTCATGTTACTGCTTTTCTAATGATTTTGTTTATTAACGCATTAAAGTAGTGCAATATTTTTTTTTTAATTTTTAAATTTGTTTTTTTTTTTTTTTTTATTCAACATATATTCGTAAATAAAATTTTGAATGCATATAAAATCAAAAGGAGTAGCGACGCGCACCGGTTTCAGCTAGTTAATTATAAAATATCTTTAAAGCTCTAATGAAAAGCAAACAAAGGGCTAAGGATAACTTTAAGAAATCCTTTTGGAGTGGATTTTTATTATACCCTCCACCATGGGTAGGAGGGTATATTAACTTTGTCATTCCGTTTGTAACACCTCTAAATATTCGTCGTAGACCCCATAAAGTATATATATTCATAATCAGCATAAAATTCTAAGACGATTTAGCGATGTCCGTCTGTCTGTCTGTCCGTCTGTCTGTCTGTCTGTCTGTTGAAATCACGATAGAGCCCACATTATTTGACGTAGACCTTTGAAATTTGCACAAGTGTGTGTATTGTCCCTAGGATGGTTGGTATTGAAAATGAGATATATCGGTCCACGTTCTGGTATAGTCCCCATATAACGGTACCTCCCGATATTCGGTATTTTGATGATTTATGCCACATTTTTTCACGGATTTATCTGAAAATTGGTATTTGTAGGTCACAACGGGTCCCTGAGCGTGTAGCAAAACATTGCATGTATAGGTCCACGTTCTGGTATAGTCCCCATATAACGGTACCTCCCGATATTCGGTATTTTGATGATTTATGCCACATTTTTCCACTGATTTGTGTAAAAGTTGGTATTTGTGGGTCATAATGGGTCCTAGATCGTGTGGCGAAACATTGTAATTATAGGTGCACGTGTTGGTGTAGCCCCTATATAACGGTACCTCCCGATATTCGCATTTTAATGTTTTTTGCCACATTTTTTCTAATGTTCTTTTACCCTAGGGTGGAGGGTATTAAAAGTTTGGCCCGGCCGAACTTAATGTTTTTTTACTTGTTTAAACTACTTCTGTTATACTAATAATATGGAACCTACTATGGAAAGACTACGTAAGCTATATCCTGCTGGTATTTAGAAATATTTTTTAGTTAACAGACTATGAAAGCCATTCCGCTGATTTACAGAATTAGTCGTTTTCTCGACAGATGTATGCCCTCAGCCAATGTTCGATTATTTAAATAAAATTTGACTTCAGTTAAGATTGTTCGAACTTTTGACCCTATATGGAGTAGGTTCCAAAGGCATGAGCCGATATTGTGCATTTCGTATCAGATCTAAATAAATATAATATAAAAAAGCGAGGTGCCAAGTTTGGACTATTTCGATCACTTTATATGAAATAAGTGATAATTATTAAAAAAACGCACATTGGGTCGATATAGTCGACCAAAGTACTCCATTTTTTTTAATACTTCATCTAATACAGATAAAATATTGGTATGTGCAAAATTACAAGAAAATCTAATATTTATATTCAACTAGCTGGCCCGGTCCGCGTTGCCGGCACGTACTTTTAATCTGTAAAGCATAATAAATCACAGATCTGTCTGTGTGTCTGTCTGTCTGTCCGTCTGTCTGTCTGTCTGTCTGTCTGTCTGTTGTAATCACGCTATCTTTCGAACAAATTGAGATAGAAGGCTAAAATTTTGCACACATGTATATTTTGCCAGTAGACAGGTTAAGTTCGTAAATGGGCCATGTAGGTCCAAGTTATCATATAGCCCCCATATAATGGTACCTTCCGATATTCGGTATTTTGATGATTTTAGCGACATTATTCACCGGAATTGTTTCAAATTTGGCATTTGAAGTTCCTAAGGGATACTACAGCGTAAGACAGAAAATTATCTGTGCAGGTCTACGTCTTCGTGTAGCCCCCATATAACGGTATCCCCCGATATTCGGTATTTTGATGATTTTAGCGACATTATTTAGCGGAATTGTTCCAAATTTGGTATTTGAAGTTCGTAATAGATACTGCAGCATAAAACAGGAAATGGGCCATGTAGGTCCACGTCTTCATATAGCCCCCATATACCGTACCCCCCAATATTCGGCATTTTGATGATTTTAGCGACACTATTTACCGGGATTGTTTCAAATTTCGCATGTGAAGTTCGCAATGGATATTTCAGCCCATGCTAGAAAATTGTCTGTGCAGGTCCACGTCTACGTATAGCCCCCATATTCGGAATTTTGATGATATTTATTTTACATTATAAATAGATTTTTCTTCAAGTTTCGCATGTAAATATTGCAATAACTTATGAAAAAAGTTGCCTATGCAGGTCCACGTCGTCGTATAAGCATTCGGTATTTTTAAGGTTTTAACAGAATTCTTAACGGATATTATTATTGTTTTTTTTTTTTTTTTTTTTTTTTTTTGGAAATTGCCAAAATTGTACCAAATGGTGGAGGGTAGTAAAAGATCGGCCCGACCGAACTTACAGCTTTTTTACTTGTTGATATTGTAAAAAGCATTCATATGAGCTATAATTTGAAATTTGTATTTCCAACGTTTAAAATCCCGTACTGTGTGGTATTCAGTCTTGTCCACCTCATACTTGAAGGCAGAATGTTGTCAGAATAGCCAAAAAAATTTCTCTTTTGCTCGGATTACCATAAGATGGGCATTAATTGTTTGTCATTTAAATTGTGCAGTGGAGATCCAATAAAGTTACTTTATAATTTCGTACTTTTTTTCATGTTTCTGCCACAATTTCCGACTGAATGAGTCCCAGACATTTCGGAGTTTATTTCATATAGACGTACATCCCAAATCTACGTTCCCATCCAACATTCTCTTGGGGGTTACAAATTCAATTAGAATACCAAATTTTCGTTTCTGACCACACATTGGTTGGGAAAGTGGACTTGGGGGTATACTAATGTGGGAAATATACTTAAATAAATTCCTATGAGGATAATTATCTGTAAGATGATTTTCTACCCCAGGTAGCCTCAAGACTAAGATGCGCACTTTTCCGAAAAATAAAA